GCTCAAGTAGAAAGCAAATGTTTTGAGAATGATGATGACAACAAATGTACTTGACACAATGAATGTATGGATGGATTGTGATAAGAGTTGTATGAGACCCCAGTAAAGTGATTTAAAAAAAAAAGAAATATGTTCTCTATGTGGTTCTTAAAAAAAACAAAAAACATGAGGGGGCTTCAAAAAAGTTCTTGGGAAAATGAAAATAAGAGATATCATGATTAAAAACAAAATATAAAAAAACCCAGACAACTAACTTCTCTCCATGTAGCCCTCCTCGTTCCAGGATAACCATGGTTTCCAGTAATCTGTCTACCATTCTCTGAAAGATTTTGCTGAATTGAGCTTTTTATTTTATTCTCATTTCTATAGCTTACATATTAAATCTAGAGACTATTTTGAATCCTTATCAGACCATCTAATATATTCTTCCTCTTAGTGCCTTGCCTCCACAGAATGGATACGTGTGCCTTTGACATTTGAACCCAAGTAATCACTACAAAGGAGCCCAGATGGTGTACTGGTTACACCTTGGGCTGTGATCTGCATAATTGGCAGTTCAAAACCACCAGCACCCCCCTGGAGAGAAACTGGACTTTCTACTCCCACAGGGGGTAGCTAAGAGTCACCATTGACTCAATGACAGTGAGTTTTTAATCTCTAGAAACATCTAGAGATTAAAGGAGTTAGTATACCTTCTGCCAGTTCGATTAATGCTCTATTATCAACCAGCTATGAATAAACACACTCTCTGCTATCGAGTCAATGCTGACTCATAGCGAGCCTGTGGGTTTCTGAGACTGTAGCTATTCATGGGAGTAGAAAACCCCGTCTCTCTCCCGCGGAGCTTCTGGTGGTGGTCTTGAACTGCCAACCATACATATTGCAGCCCAAAGCATAACCACTAAGCCACCAAGGATCCTGTTTTGAATGCAGCTTTCTGTATAATCAACTAGTTGAACTGAATATCTGCTTAGTTAATTCATTCTAGAAATATCCAGGGTTCAACATTAAACTTACTAGATTTTACTTTCTAGGATCTTTTACCGTCTTTATTATTATGAATATAAATATTTGCCTGACTCCAATCTTGGTAGCGCAAATATGGTTACATGCTTGACTACTAACAGAAAGGTTACCAGCTCAAACCCAGTCATTGGGAAGGCTTCCAAAAGATCACAGCCTTGAAAACTCTTGGGCACAATGTCCTCAGTCCCTGTGTGCCCCCAGGAGTTGAAACAGGCTCAACAAAACCCAGCACAACAATCTTCAGGCCCCTCCGGTGGTGACACATCAGCTATCACTAGCAGTAGCTCTTTGACTGCATTCAACATCTCAACAAACAATTAAGAAACTGCCGCAAGCTGTGCATGCCAAACAAGTGCATGAAAAACAAACTAACTGAGGCATGAGCTAGTGCTTACAGGATAATTTGTAGGTTTTAAAAACAATATGCCAGGGTGTAATTTACCTGATGCTATAGTTTTTTCATAAGCCAGCTGTTTGTAAATATATTTTCAAATACAAAGCACATCTTTGCTTGGCTTGAGGGTAAACCTCCGGACCTTGATCCCAGCTTGGTGGCATGCTGAGACCGAGGGAGAAGGCTCACCTCTAGTTTGGCATCCAGGTCGGCGTCCGAGGCAACCACATACTCATCTTCCTTCTTCCCCGTGGCTTTAATAAATGCCTGTTTCGTCTCCCAGTACTTGCGCTGCATTTTGTTTACAACTGACTTATCTTGAGTGTGTCGATCATGTAAGTCCCAGGGATAACTGCTAAAAAAAAAAAAAAAAAAAAGTAGCAATTTGATTTGCGACTTTCCTAATGATTAAGATAAGATTTGCCTGAAAAGAGCCTTTCTAATCATTCTTCA